GTCGTTGGCTTGTTCGCTGAGCTGGGCAATTTGGTTGCAAACGTTTCATCACCAATCGAGGTGACATCATCAGTGAGTTATTGGGGAGCGTATGCGTGCGTAGCGGTACGCCCAGCTCAGCGAACAAGCCAACACCCATCCTGTGGCTTCACTTACTGGACTGCCTTTTTGTTTAACGTCCAAAACAAGTAGTGCGTAGCGGTACGCCCAGCTCAGCGAACAAGCCAACACCCATCCTGTGGCTTCACTTACTGGACTGCCTTTTTGTTTAACGGAAGTCCAAAACACGGCCCTCAACCGTTTGTACCACCGTGTGCAGTTCACTGACAGTGTCTCAGTCAAGTTAAGTCTTTCTGCAGTTCAGGTACCAAAAGGTGATCGAACTGGGCAACAACTGATTCAAACTTCCGGAATAGTTGGGTGACAATCCTTCTCAAACTTGTCCATCTAAGAATATGTAAGTCGGGGTGGAACTTCAATGAGACGACAGGGCCGTGAACGACACCTCTCCGATTGAGAACCGAACGTGCAAACTTCAACCATCAGGCTCATCAAACAAAACTTCAAAACTTTGATGAGAAACGGTCCTGGGTCAAAGCTCACACTTCCCCAATATCGTCTAACGATAGAACTGGTAACAAGTGTGAGGGGGGAACTTCGGTAACAGTTACCAAGACAACAGTGGACTGACCTTGGTGGGCCTTAGTTGGAAAATCGTAGCGGCCTCGGATGCCTCGTTTGGTGACAGTGTAACGACATCACAATGTCCTGTTCCGTTTGCTTCAGCCGGATTCACGCCCAAATATCGACCGGTAGTCACGTGTCTCAGACGTACCTCGCTGGCCCATGAGAAGAAACCAGCGCTCCATTTGGTTTTCAAGTGCTCGATGCGCCATAAGGAACGCGCACTGCTTGACACAGCTCCGATTTCATACATCACCTGTTGACGATACCTGGAACAGGAAAGAACAGGAGGTAGGGCTTTTGCAATGCACGAGTTTTTTAATCACAGTGTTCTAACTATCGGTTTTCATCGAACGTTGAACTTAGAGTACACAAGTTTGCGAACGATCGTTTCCGTTAGCATCTTACCAGATAAATACACATTTGTAAGTAATTTGTGTCCTTTTACAAATCCGTTAAAATATTCATCTGAAAAGTGCACAGCGGTGATGAACAAGAAGTAAACTGCTGGCCTGTCTTGTCATGTCATGTCGACCGAAGTAGAGATGTATAGATCAGAAAATGGATTCTAAAGTTCCATGTCAACAGACACGTCGAAACTGGAGAGGCACTTTCATCATTTTGATGATTCCGTTTTGTGAAACCTACCATTCCACCGTGCCAGACTTCAAAAATCAACCGATTAGGAGTAATGGAAGAACTCTTCAGAGGTTTCCTTAAGAATGTCGGCAGTGGTAATCATCGTTCTACAATTAAGCAGTCCAAGTGAATCAGGGCGTCTCTTTGATAGCAGTTGGCTCGAAATTTCAGGGGCGATTCACAGACAAACGTGCAATTCTACTGTGGCTCACGCTATCCGATGACGAGACTGGATAACGACAGTCGTTCCAGGGAGGTGAACTTTGTTCTGACACGGCATTCGTTAGCGAATCATTTCAGTAGTCAGTTAGTAACTTCTGGCATAATTGTCTCCAATTGTTCAAGTTTCTTCCACCCCCGGAAGTAGATAGCAGAATTTTGGCAAACTAGATTATTCTGGTGGGCCCAAACCAAGTAGTAGAAGCGCTGGACTAGAGCTTTAGTCCAGGCAAACGTGGTTTTACATTATGGTGACAAGTGATTGCATCTCAGATACGTCATTCCTTTCATAGAGGGGACACCATTGGGGCCAACTGGAATCATGCCCTTCTGGAGGTTCTCGCCTTTTGGGATGCAAAATTACAGTGTGTATGTAATGAAAAGACAAGACCACAGAAGTGATTTAACTTAAGTGAGGGCTTCAACCCTCAGGTGAACTATTTTGAGCATGACCACTGCATACCTAACTTGAAAAAGGTTAGTCATATTCAAGCTTCTGTGGGGGTGAGATGGCTCTCGGGCTAGAGAGCGGATTTATAGACCGGGATGTACGTGGTTCGAACCCGACCTCTACACATTGACTTCTCCCGTCTAGGTTTGGACAACCTGGCGGTATCCCCGTCTTCGTGCTTCCTTCGGGTAGCATGGCAGTTAGGCAAAAAAAAAGTGCTACAGCTGGACGATCTTCTCTAAAAAATTATCAACTGCTCTTTGTACAGTAATTCTACTGAATGGGTTGCAGTAATCGTCGCTCCAGACTAAAATGTGTTGTTTTACCGAGTTCAAAGACGTACAAAATGATCAGGTAATTGCTGAATTAACAACTGCCTAGCTCGATACCAGAAAGCAACTGCAGTTCTCTTCTGAGGAGACCATCCTACAGAAATGGGTCCAGTTCCTCGACGTCAAATTCAACGATAAAGTCTTTTCAAGAAGGAACCACTATATGCTCTCTGGGTTGTGATAGACAGCTGCTCACCGACACTCTGCTCGAAAAGTCCCTGACGAAGCAAGTCAGCTCGATCAAAAGGAACAATGGACTCATGTCATCAGGAGATATCCCATAATTTTCACAGACCATACAAAGAAGCATTGCAAATTTTCAATATGAGCTTGGAGTGACACCCCCGAGAATGTGTTGGGTGCATTTTTTTTTACAAGCGATCTCAGCAAACGCAATTTTCGAATAGATTAATCCTGACGTGTGATAAGTAGATCGGGAAAATCTGCATTGGAACATCATACCCCGTGGAAGCTTCCACATTCAGGTGGCTTGTATTAGCAGTGTTTGTTTGATTGCCTCGCACCCCGGCGTTCGGAGGGCTTCCTGGAGCTCCACCGTTGTGCGCTGGAGGGACCAGAGGATTCGCTTCTTCGGAGTCCGGTGCGCTAACAGTGAGGGACTCGTCACCATGAAAGAGTCGCACGACGTCTCCACCGAGAACCATATCTGAAGAAGGAATATTTAACGAGTGACCATGATGAAGATTCAGCATTCATTACCGAAGGAGATAGAAATAAGAATGTCGGCAGTGGCAATCATCGTTCTACAGTCAAGCAATCCAAGTGAATCAGAGCGTCTCTTTGATAGTAGTTAGCTCGAGATTTCAGGAGCGATTCACAGACAAACGTGCATTAATCGATACTAGGAAGGGATTGGGACGGTGCTCTGTCCGGGACATGAGGTTCACCGATACACGTCTTCTTTACTCCTCGGTGACCAATAGTTAAAAAGGAGCGGGTAAAATCAGAAGACAGGCTGTGAGGTGGAGAAGGAACAAAACAAGCAGTAGAATCCTTTCTAGAAAACAATTACTCTGGGGTCCAACCCATGTGTGAGCTTTTATCTAGCTCCTTCTTCGTAGTAAACCGGAACAGAGTTCTAACTGGCAAAGTACATTCATATGCGTAAAGACTTGGTTTTGATGGAACCCAGCTGAATCTCTCCTTTATGAATCAAGTGGAACATAAGGTTGACAGAAACTCGTGGACTGCACCTACCTGTGAGCCTCAAGAAGGGCGAAACCGGTTGTGGGCTTCAGCAACCTTATGAGTAGTGCATAACGTCTACACAGAGTTCTGATTACCTTCACGACTTTCAGCTAGGTCTGTGGCCTTGAACACTCATCAAGCTTTCGTGGCTTCAGAAGTCCTTAGCCTTTCGACAAGTGATAAAAGGCCCGTGAACACTAGGAAGTAGAGCATCCTAAAATAAGACGTTGCCCTATTCCGCAACAGAATTAGCTAAGCCTGGATTGAACATACTACTTACTACTACCCACTACTTACTCATTGACTTTTGTCGAACAGCACCGCTGGAGACTGGGATCACTGTCCATAGAGTTTGTTGGAAACTTGCAATAACCCCATGACCGGAGAATACTTCACCATAGACATGCTGGCGACGGGGGCGGTGTTCGTAGCAGTTTGGACGATGGGGAAGAAAAGCAATATTGATGAGAATCAGAGCTATGCTGGAAATATTCGATCTTTTCCCGAAAAACCCTAACGAAAAATAACCCCCGCCACCCGAAAAAGACTAGAAAACTGAGGAAATGAAATGTGAACTTTTAGTTTTCATTGAAGAGGGTGACATTGGGACATGTCATTAATAATTTGCATGAAAAGGTCCGTTTTTCGGTATCTTTGCCTCCAAACGAATTCACACAATTAGCTGTTCACTAAAGATCGGTGCGTGCCGCATTGGCGTTTATTCTGCATCTTGTAGACGTGCGATGATTTGTGTATGAGCTCCAGTCGTTAGATCCACAAAGTTTTCTGTATGATTAACCGTTTCATGAGTGTAATTCATGTAAATCATCGTTTCAATTCCTTGTTATGATCCCTACATATCGGAGATAATGATTGAGCCGGGAACGATGCAGACCTGGATTGTGTCCATCAAAGTGGCCGCAGTGTGACCTGGCACTGCATACGTGAACACCTCTTTAGTTTCCCGGCAGATCTCTCCGAAAATCCACTGCCCTGTGTGGTTTTTACCGCGAGATATTAGCGTTTCATCGATCTCAACGTATGGATCTGGGCCACCGATAACTGTTGGAGTCTGCAAAAGCCGCCAGGCGCAAACTTCGCGAAGAAAGTGCTTCCAGTCAACAGCGGTCGTATGTGTATTAGACAATTCTTCTGCGCGGAATTTGATTTCTGCCAAATTTTTGGACTGTCCTAAACTCCATCCCGGACCGCTCCAGCCAAGTTGCCTTTCGAAGACCGATTTCTTGCAGACACTGTCGGGCATTACACCTCCACCTGTCGGGAACAGTTGAAAGTATCATTTGGTGGCCATTGTTGCATAAACGTTGCTGATAAAACACTCCGTGGCTTTACAAAATAGGTATTGCCGTCTCCTTGTCATGAACGAGAGTTGAAAGCGTCAAAAAGTTCCTTTCAGGTTTTGCGTCCGAACGGAGAAAATTTTGCACAAAATGAGCCTAGATGCGGATAAGGAATTGTTTTCATAAAAAATAGGCCAAGGTTGTGTGCGTACATTAAATTGGAGCTGGCAAAAAGTGGCGGAGCTTATCTGGAGAAGATTCAAAATAGTGACACCCAGTCATTGCAAAATGCATATGAAACGACACTGTTCTTCCCGTGTGTGTTGTTCAGGCTAATTGGGATGGGCCTTTCAAATTCAGGATGAAAATACCCGGGGGACTCCGCTATTTGCACTTGCATTCTCTTGGTTTCTGATTATGATCGAAGGTTGTGCCCACGCACGCACTCACGCTCTCTTCTCTCTTCTTACTGCGCCGCAGCTCTTCATCCGGTGACTCATGTATTCTGGTTCTCGTTAAACTCTACCTGGCAAGTACTTTCCCAGTGTTCATCGGTTATAGACAAACAATAACTCGGCCTTATAACTTTTCTCTTTGTGAGTTGATCGTGTATGCACAATTCGGTCCAGCTTCGTTGCAGAATTTCAACCTATACAGATTCTGAAGCACCAGCTGTTCTCAGTTTACAGGTCTCGTACTCACCTTGTCCTTTTCTGCACCTGACTGAGGTTCATTGTTGCCTACTTGTAACATGACCCAGGTCTGCAGATTCTGCTCGATGCGGAAGTAAATTCCCTCCAGCCCACGATGTGGCATCCCATGAGTACTGTTTAATACAGTCATTCTACACTGTCTGGCACTACAACATTACAGTATATATATAGTACATATATAACATTACACTACAGCATTACAGTTGCCTTACCAACCGTAGAATAAACATTCAAGTAGAACGATAAAGTTGACGGATACTTGGGGACTGCGCCCACCTGATGGGCCCGAAGTGGAAGGTCGAAACCTGTCGTGGGCTGCCGACGAGTTTTCAGCAATCTTGTGAGTAGTTTCCTTTATGAAACTATACTGCGATATCTCGAATATCGTGCCAGCTGAAACATAAGGCGGCCTGTGTGCAGCACATTCAGTTGTAGGATGTCATAAACGAGATATTCGGTTGAGTCTCTCGTGAAAACCAAATTGAAATGCAACTGCGCTCTTTTCTCGAAATCAGTCCAACTTGGGTTCGAGTAGAACGTAATGTTGACTGAAACTCGGGGACTGTGCCTACCTGATGAGCCCCAAGAAGGGCGAAACCGGTTGTGGGCTGTCGAAGAATCTTCAGCAACCTTATGAGTAGTGCGTTACGTCTAAACATCTACCTACTCACTTTCCTCAATCTTCCAGAAATTTCAAACTTATTCGAGTGGTTTCTTTTTTTACGCAACTTGGGGTCTCCACAGTAACCCAAATTGTACCAAATTGAATTAGTTTGGGAGAGTGCAACCTGTAGTTCTAATGAAGATTTTTAATTTAACCTGAACTTGTGTTGATGCTTTATGGAACCCAACAACGTCGGGTTTTTTCAGCATCGATTGTCACGCAACCGATGAAAGATCAAAGGAACCGAGTCCAGACAGGGGTGCACACCTAAACGCGACAGTCAATTTCTACTCAAATAGATTCCATCCTTATACGAAAGCCTGACTTCTAAAAGTGAGGTGGGTACGCTACGGTGGTACGTCTATTTTTTTCCACTATCGTTCGATTGGAAACTTTCCGGAGGTCAGTGAAGGATGATGTCTGGCAGGTAGGGCGGTATTTTTCTTGCTTGATTCAGTTTATCTACTCTGAGGTCGGAATAGCACAAGTGGTACTTCCAAAAACTAGTTGTTTCGATATCTTTATTCAGTTTTTTTTCGCAGTCCCTCGGGCTACCTATTTTTTGTGCAGATCGACAAACATTTGGTGACCAATAGCAGAACGGTAGAGTGATTTGCAAGTTGCTCCGTGCAACATCGATTAGGTGGTGTTGGGAAGAATGTGGGCCAGTTACGCGGGCGGGTGCATGCACCCAGGCGTGGATGTTCACTGAATCTGAGACAGGCGCGTTGTGGTTGTGCGTAGTTAATTGCCCACTTTTCTTTCCTACGCAGATCCAGATCGATAAAAACCGTATGAACTGGGATGCGAATGTGAACCGGATAGCTGTTGACTCTGTTACTGCCGTTTGGTGATCGATTGCCAACAGGGACAGATGGGGCTTCGAGTGATGTGATAGGACAGGCGGTTACGTCACTTCTTGGGTGTAGGTGTGTGTGTGTGTGCGTTTGGAAACTTTCCGCTAACGAAACCACAATCATTCCGCACCATAGATTAACTTCTAGGTTTTATTGGCCCACAATTAATCATGTCGGTATTCGAAAACGTCAAAGTCAAATTTTCGCTCCAAACGTTGGTATCGTAGAGATGCGGCAGAGATGCTGATGCTTTCCGAATCAGGGCCGCAGCTCACGCGGAAGTCGACCGCGCAGCAGTAGTGAAGGTGCATGCAACCACCGAATTCCCACCATGCACAGCGTAAACTGTACAGAATGACTACGTCCAGACACTTCCGAGGCTGTGGGATGGTCGTAAGCCGGGGTAGGCAGGACGGCGACAGCAAACAGCAGGCTGTCCACTTGCTCGGCCCAGGGTTGCTGGACTTCACAGTTTGGTTCCGGAGTGGACGTCACCTAAGTAAGCGTACGCACGTGAAGGCCCCACAACCGCCCACTCTCTAACTCTGTCCGCACCGGCCGAGCTAGCTTGGATGTTTTCTCTCTGTGCCTTTTCTAGGCCTGCCGAGCCCAGGGCTTGCGACGTCGGCATGGTCACGGGAACGCTCCCACCGTGTTATGAGACTTCAGTCGACCATGCGCATGCCGCAGTAGCCAAGATCTGTCACTCAGGTGGACCACTTCGATGGATCAGTGACACGATGGCAACTACGCGAGAAAAGCGTGTCATCGATAGGACTTGAGAACATCTCCTGAAAATGGAGCGGCTTTTCTCGAGTGGACCGTGTATCCCAAAAGTTTTGTGTGAAACTGGAGCTGACTAGAGAAGACAACGTTGTCTCAACCGGTCAGTATATTATTAGATGAGAATAAAGTCAAGGTAAATTGGAAAACTGCGGCCAAAAATTGCTAGGAATCAATTGAGCAATTTAGCTGGGATCGATAGACGATAGGTGGTTGGCTGGCCATGGAAGAGTCAATGCATTCAGCTGATCGGTTTACACATGACCCTCTTTGGAGGGTCATCTTTAAGGTACAAACCTTTTCTGTGAGATAATCTCTGTTGGGAAATACGAAGTACTCTTCAAGAGAAGAAACGACGCGCCCTCTTCCAGTGCGTGTTCTCAGTAAGGGCATCTGCATAGCTTGGGTGATATTTGATTGGTGAGTCTGTTTCCTGTCCTGCAAACATGTCTAAAAGCAGCATGTTGGCGATTTGGATGTCCGTGAGGAGGTCTTTGTGCAGTTGCTCAAGGCAATGGGAGAAATCACTCTGGTATCATGACGACAGAGCACTGACTTAGCAAGCTCACAAGTACTTGAAGGTCCGGAACTTTCTGAATGATATTCTTAACTTTGTGTTGAAAACTTCGCGTGCTACAAAGATCCTCTTCATATGATCACCAACTCAGTTGCTCTTTACCTCTGGTTTGTTTGCTCTGGAGTTTCCAGTATGCTTCGGTTTACATAACCTTTCTAGGTCTACGAAATTGGACTAAAGACGAGGAAGCGGACGCGATGTTGGAGGGACTGTTTCCTCCCAGACTTGGTGACCACCGATTAGCGTAGTCTATAGCTACCCAGTCACCCACACACTTGACTGCTCAGCTCAGTCGCTCACCGGATCACGAGACTTGTCTTTTTACATACTCGCAGACCACGTCATATTAAGGTGACTCATCAGGCGTCGATTGTCTGCACCGTCTAGTGAGCGTAGCAACCACTCATGTGCTGACGCGCCCACGTACACGCAAACGGACCTACATGTACGGAAACCGAACACAGTCAGGGCACACAGACTCGCGCGCGCGCAGGGAGCAATGAGTCAGCCAAACACTCCAAGTCCACGGACAATGATGGAACACGTGTAGCAGCTACACTGCCAAGAAAACACCTCCCCACCATCCG